TGTGCACCTTCAAGTCACTTCCAACTTATGGCAATGCTAACTCAAACCTATCATGGGGGTTTCTTGGCAAGATTCATTCAGAGGAGGTTTGCCATTGCCTTATATCCACTCCTCCCTCTCTGAGGCTGAGAGCCCAGTAGGTTTTATAGTCAAGCTGGGAATTGAACCCTGGTCTTCAGAGTCATAGTCCAACACTCAAACCACATTAGATTAGTTGAATGAAGGCAAGCTTGCATACTGTCTCTGCTTAGAAGAGACTGTCTCCATTTTCTTAAATGATATAATGTGCAATCCAGTGAGCATGTGGTTATCCATAATACATGACCCCCCCATTATGCCAACCCCTTCCCTGTTTCCTTATTCAGTTTTACAAATTATGATTTTATGATACCCAGCATTCCTTAAGGCTACTCTTTTTAATTCCATGCCATGTGCCATGTTCAATGTCCCTTTGTTCCTGCTAATTATTTACAGGCATTTTCTATCAGTTCTGCTTTGGGGGATTCCTCAGCTGGAATTGCAGCCTACTCGGGTTATTATGCCTTAATGGGGAAACAAGATGCCATCTTTTTCTTTCTTTTCGTTAAATGCAATTCCTGAGCAATTTTAACTATCTGCTGTTATTATTTTTTTTAAAAAAGTTAACCCCTTTGGGCTTTGGAACATTTTTTACAAGTTGCATATAAAATTCAAATGCATGAGGAATCATTTGTGCTAACTGCCGGAAGCCAACAAAATGAGATGCCAGTGACGATCATTTAAGCAACACTAAGTACAGAGAAAAAGAAAATGCAGCTTGCTTCTGAACTTTGAAATTCTCCAAAAGATCAGCATGTCTAGCAAGCATGTGGTGAGCTCTCTCCTCTCACTGGGTGCAGAGAAGTGGCTTTCATGAAGAAGTCACAGCCCGTATTTTCCTGCATTCACCTTTGATATGATAACATCCTCACCACATCATTATACATGCAGTCCTCAGGCATAGTGAATGGCATGTCTATGGGATTAGATCTCTATAGTTACGGTCCTTTGGAAGAGATGAAGGGAAATTGGGGAATTACCCTTGCTGGTGGGTGCAATTGTGGATTTCTTTAAAGATGTTATTAGTGAAAATGGATGCCTCTAGGCATGAAACAAACTCAACCCACGAGGGAGATCTGTTCAGGAGAATTACTTCAAGTTGTATTGGGATCAGGAAGGCCTGAATCTTAATGTGAATCTCATCTAGAGTTGTTGCTGTGTGCCATCCGGTTGTTTCTAATTTATGGTGACCCTAAGGTGAAACTATCACAGGGTCTTCTTGGCACATTTCTTCATAGGAGGTTTGCCATTGCCATCCTCTGAGGCTGGGAGTGTGTGATTTGCCCAAGGTCATCCATGGCAATCCAAGGGTTTCCATGGCTGAACAGGGATTTGAACCCTGCTCTCGATAATCCAATGCTCAAACTACCACACCATGCTGACTCTCATCTAGAGTAGACACACGGAATTATGTTGACTAACCAACAGTTGATTCAATTGCTATCTTTTAATTAAAGGTAAAGGTATTCCCCATTGAGAAGGCTGTCAAGTCATGTCCGACCATAGCAGATGGTGCTCATCACTCTTATGCCAAAAAGCCAGCATTTTCAGAAACTACTCTGTGGTTATTATTATTATTATTATTATTATTATTATTATTATTATTATCATTATTACCCACCCCTCTGTACAGAATGCTGTTTACCTTCCCATTGAGAAGTGATACCTATTTATCTACTTGCATTTGCACACTTTCGAACTGCTAGGTTGGCAGAAGTTGGAACTAATGATGGGAGTTCACCCCATCATGCAGCACCTGGGCCTCGAACTGCTAACCTGCCAGTTTTGAAATCAACAGAGTCAGCGTCTTAACCACTTAAGCCACTGCATCCCTATCTTCTAATTGGGACCAGTCAAATCTAAGACTGGTACCAGAGCCATTCTGTCTGAAGGTGCTCAGTGTCATGGGCTAGCAGAGCTTCAGTTGGGAGTATAGGTCACTATACAAGTGGATATACTATAGATATAAGGCTACAGTTTTATGGCTATGGGCTGCTCCTGCCCACCAAAGTGAATCATTGGGCACTCCAAGCAAGAAATATTTTTCTTAAAAGACCTTTCTGTTTGAGCTGAAATGTTGACTGAAAAAACAACAATCTTCCCAAATGTGGTGCATCTCAGTTGTGTGTCCTGAAGCTATAACATACCCTCCAACAGCCCTGATTTGACAGGGACAGTTTGATGAATCCTTTGTCATTCCACTTTTTCCCCAACTACTTTAAAAATGTCCCAGTTTTTATCTCCTCATTCTACTCTCCCCCTTTGTCCTTGGCTTACTACAATTGATACAAACTCATTTCCTAGTGTGGAAGGAAGGGCAGGAGATGACAGAGCTGTAACATTCTCAAAAGACTCAAGCATAATCAAACTGTTGCATCCTCTCCTAGCTTTTGTGTCATCTTCATTTATAACTTTTGCTAGTTTGACCACATTTTGATGTTGCTTCACCACGTGTGTCCCAGTTTTCATCTATGAATTGTTGGAAGGCATGCTGCAACATTTGCTTCTTGCTTTTATTTCTTGGGCCCAAGGTGGTAGCAACATTCTGTATTATTATTTTCAATCCCTTTTGGGAGGTGTCACCTTGATTAATGGGTGGGAGCCCACTTTGCTTTGGTACTGTGGGTTTCAGCAACATTCAGCAAACTTTTGCGGATTTTCTTTCTAATTAAGGAGCCCAGATCACTGATCACAAGGGGCAAAGAGTCATTTCACAAGACAGCAAAAGTGCCAGAACATCTGTCCTGATTTTTTTTAAAAAAAGCATTTCCCATAAAGCATCTCTTGCTGTGGGAAATGGAAGCTCGGAGTAGAAAGAGGAAACTTTTTTTTTTGTTGGGAATGTGACATAAATTGTCCCACATAGCTACATAAGCTGTTGCCATTTCCATTAAGGCTCACACCTTATGTGGCCTTATCTACAGCACATAAAATGGGTGGAGAATTTTTCTGGACCCTGTACAACGGGTGATGCTCACCCTTGAAGAGATTTTTTTTCCAAGTCCTGTGCTGCTGCTCCCAGGGCTTGTAGAACAAGAAGGTTCCTAAGGTGGCTATACTCTGTGCAAATAGCACACTGATCCAAGTAGTGCTTTCCCCCTGATCATCTACATTTGTTTGCTCCCCACACTCTCCCCTCACACCTGACTATCTGGTGCACCAGTATAACAGAAGTCTAAAACATATACAGTTGTCTTCACCCTGAGCTAGAAAGCCCTAGTGCCATCTGGGAACATATGTATAGATGGATATCTAGGTATTAAACTGAATTTACACACAAACAAGTAATTTGTTCAACCTCTTCCAGCATTGCTCGCCCTGAGATTTGTCTCTCAACCTGGAGACTCAGGGTGCATCTGTACTGTAGAAATAATGCAGTTTGACACCACTTTAACTGTCATGGCTCCATCCTACAGAATTTTGGGATTTGTAATTTTGTGAGGCACCAGCACACATTAGCAAAGACTAAAGACCTTAAAAAAGTACAACTCTTAAGAGTCCATAGGATGGAGCTCCAGCACTTAAAGTGGTGTCAAAACTTCATTATTTCTACATAGTAGAAACAGCTTTGAACAAGTACAATAGTCCCTGATACTTCAGCTGTTATCCTGAGATCTGGCAACTCTAGGGCTCATCCATCCTCCATCTCTTACATGTAGTATAAAGCCATGTCCATCCAAATCAATCATCACACGTGTTTTCCAAAAGATGAACACACATACAAATTTCATGAAAAAATATTCTATCACCTGTCATAGTACATCTGAAATTGCCTTACCTGTAGGAGATCCCTCCATGACATGTCCAATGTATGGCCCTTCCCGAAAGAGTGGTCGGTTGTCATTCTGGTCAATAATAATAATATCTAGAGGAACGGGGCCTTCTATGCTTTTCCCACTGGCATCCGTGATCTCCACCTGGAGCTGTATATTTAAAAGGAAAGAGAAAGCAATGAGTCAGATTGTTGCCAAGACATCAAACAAAGACATGGAGAAAGAAGAGCTGGTTATCAGCAGTTTTTCTGTCATAACAAACTCCCCCTCCTCCTCGGCAAGGTTAGGAGTTGAGCTGGATGAGCTCTGTGCCAAAGGCAGGATGGCTGCAAGCCTGAGCAATTGAAACAAAAAGTTGGGGAAAAGATGCTGATATCCCCATTGGGGCACTTTGCAACTGAATTGCCAAATTTGCTGGAGGATGCAACAAAGGAAGAAAGGGTAGAAACTGAAAAAAAGAAAACACAATTTGATGCTAATAAAGTGAATATTTGCTTAGGATACATTTTTTCCCCCCTCTTTTCTTTTCAAGCATAATTACACTTAAGGGGAACATACTGAACCAGAAAATAAATTGCAAGATAGGCCATAGCGGAACACTGAATTGCACAAATAGATTGTTAGGAGACCAAAGAAGAAGAGAACCACTGCAAATGTAACTCTGTCCTAGAGCAAATTTCCAATCTGATGTATCCCCCTGGGTTACTTTCAGATGTCAACAGTACCAATAGTGGATCAGCCCAAGTGAACATGTATAAAGGACTCTTTTTTAAAACATGTAAAGATACCACCCTATCCTTCATCTTAAAAATTTATGCGAAAACAACTCCCATTTCACTTGCATGAAGGCTTACTTTGTAAATAATGGAATAATGGAAACTAACAAGTTGACTTGGGTGGACTTATTGCTATGCTCAGCTCAAAATTCAGATTCAAATCCTACTGCATTAGGAGCCCTGTTGGTGCAATAGTTAAATGCCTCTACTGCAGCCAGTCACTCATATACTACAAGGTTGTGAGTTCAATACTAGCCAGGGCTCAGGCTAGACTCAGGCCTGCAACCTTCTGAGGTCGCTAAAATGAGTACCCAACTGTTGGGGGGCAATGAGCTTACAGTTGTAAACTGCTTAGACACTGCATAGCATGGTATGAAGCAGTATATAAATGAAGCTGCTTTGCTTTGCTTTATGAGTTTTGAAGTGAAAACGTCACCATGAAGTAAGTATTGTTTATCATATTTTCATTCTGACTCCTTGCAAAAGGAATCTGCTTTTGACTAGAAGTCATTTTTACTCCAATGATAAGTTTAAAAGGAGGAAGGGGGAGGATATCAAAACACCACCAAGGTATGTGTTAAAGTGTGGGGAAC